AAGCTGTGCTTTGTCTTACACGAATTCCTTGGGGTACCTCTCACAGAAAGGAAGGAACTGACGACTGAATGGGTATGACTTCCCGCTCACCAACCTCTTCTGACATTCAAGTCCCGCCTCCGCCCTGAAGCAGTGTCCCTGTCTCCTGGTGTCTGATGGCCGTGGCACGACCTCCCGACCTCCCCCGTGTTTGGGCCTTTGATTCAAGGACATAAAGCAAGAGATGTGGAGAGTGTTCTCTGGTCCTGACTGACGGTGGTGCCTGAGTGGAGGGTGAGTCTGCAGGGACAAAGGCGCCACGTGCTTGTTAATCAGCTTCTCTTCTGTGTGTCTGGTGGTGTGCGAGCCACCACCCCCTGCCGCCCAGGTTGAAGGCCAGGACTCTGATCCCGTTGTTTTTAACCCATCACACTCTTCCTCGGAGGTTCAGCGCTCAGATGCTTCACTGCAGGTGGAGGCGGCATGATCCTGAGATCTTGGGTAAAAATTTTAACTTTCAGCAATGAAGCTGTTTTGAAAATAGCAAAGATTGGAAATGAGGGGTTTGGGATGTCCAGTACTTGTTTGGACAAGCTGATCACACTGTGACTGCACAGGACAGAGAGGGAGCTCTGAGTCATGCTGGTAACAGGCTGCCCAGTGGCATAGTCTTATATAATCTCCCAGTGTGCTTCGACTCAAAGATTTTGGGAGAAGCCGGAGTATTCTGAGGGTGGAAGTTGAGATCAGCTTGAGATCAGGGAACAGGTTGGTAGTAACAATGTACTGGTATTTTTATTAATCACACTGATGAATAGATTGTTTTTGCTGCAGTTAAACAGTTATGAATACAATTTTTAGATGAAAGCTTAGGAAAAGTATTTGGGGAGCTCTGGAAGGCCCATGAGGCCAGCCAGGCCCCCAACATCACCATGCCAAGCAGTTACCAGGTCACAAGAGGAAGCTGCCACCTCCTGGCCACCGAGGGCAGCTCCCCAGGCCAGGACACTGGGTCCTGAGCTCTGCCTGCAAGTGGCTGTCCTGCTGGTCCTCGGACTTACTGCTGGGCTCTTGAGAACATATGTGAAGAACCTGCCTCAGAAGCCCAGGGGAAAAATTCACTTTGTGTGCCCAGAGACAGAACCCTTCAAAGCATTTCCCCTGTGAGATGTGTGCTAGTCTGATGGTTCTTGGGCAAACTGATCATCTCATTTCATCTCTTTCCAGTTCTTGTTCTTTCAAAAGGCTTTTGAGGACCTTTTGAATTTGTGGCTGTGGCTAGGGAATTCCCCAGGAACATGTGAAAGCCAGGCTTGGGTGGGCAGCTCAGATCCCTGCCCTTGTGAGAGAACGAGGAGCCTGAAGTGTGGGATCTGGGCAACAGGTTTAATACCAAGTTCACTTTGTTACCTGTTGAGAACTTAGATTAACCTTCAAGGTGAGAGACAACACTGCCATCTAGTGGCAAATGGGTTGGGCAGCGCCCATGATGGCAGTTTCAGATCCAGTTCCTACTCAGAAACATTTTTAGCATCAGAATGAGGCTCTGACCCCGAGCAACAGAGGCCCCGGGCGGCCTGGGGATATGCAAGTTCCTGGTCTCTCCATCAAGGTACTGTCATCGCCCAAGGAACCACCTGCTGTGCAGCAGGCACCACAAGAGGCTTCAGACCTGCATTCACAGCCCCACTTAACCTTGGGAGGAGTTGGGGACACTGCCTAGCTTGGGAGAACTGTAACTGAGACTGCAGTGTGGCTTTTTAACTTCCCCTTTTTTATGTTTGAAGGGAACTTCCCTGATAGGCCTCAGGTCACACAGCAGCTCTGTGAGAGTGGGAATTCCTGAGCCAGTCCCTCTGGGCTCCTCCTCTGCAGCCCTGCCGGCCCCCTGGTTGGGAGGCAGGCCCCCAGCTGGGAAGAAAGCACTCCCAGGTGCTGGTCCGCCCTTGCCGGCTGCTCAGCCCTCTCCGAGCCTCAGACTCACCTGTCAGTGAGAAACACTCCTCAGACGGTGGTGTGGAAACCACTCATCCCAGAGCAGAGATACATGCTGTTTCTTTGTTCTCCCCTTGATCATTAAATATTAGGTATTTGAGAAATGAAAATATAATTAAGAAAAAAAATGAAAGAAAAGCAAAGGCGAGAAAGAGACTTGGGTTCACCTCTATCAATTTTGCTGAACTGCAGATAATGCGGAAATTTCTGTGGTGAACGGAAACCACAGGGAGGCTTTTGTTTCTAAGAACAGATATGAATGGATTTCATATTCCAAGGAATGTCTTAGAATCAATTAAAAATCAGAAAGAGATGTTCACTCCATTTAAGTCTTAAGTACACCTTGTGCTTAATTTCAAACAAAGCCCAGAATGAGCCAATGTTTGCAAGATGTTAAAGAGACACCCCGACCTCTTTTAAACCACATACAGAACAAGGAGAAAGTGGCCCAATTGCAGGAGTGTAATGCCCTCAGGTGACCAAGAGAGGGCAGAGCTATACAACCCTTAGCTACCATGCATGCCGATGCTGGGAAGATCTTGCTCTCCGCCCTCAGAGAGGAGGGGAGAGACGGAGGAAGGCAGGTGGGAATGACTCCAACCAGGGAGGCTGAGCTGGTTGGGCGCTTGTTAGACAAGTTACCAACCAGCCGGGAGAGCTTGGGCCATGCGGTTTAATCTGGCGCTCCTCAACGGGAAGTGGGGTGCTGCTTCGTTACCAGGGGGTGGTGAGCCTGCCTCAAGCACTCACGCAGTGCACAGAGTAGAAATTCCTGGGAATGAATTACTCCATTTATCACCTTGTAGAAATTGTGAACAGAGGCCAGGAAACTGCCAAACACTCTAACTGCCAAGGAAGGGGATGGCAGATTCCAGAACCTACATCGAGGGAAGGGCAGCACGGTCCCCAGTCAAAAGCCCAGATGTAGGAACATTTGTAATAAGCGCAGTTACTGGCACAATTTACATGCTTTATGTACGTTGTCTCCTTTGCGCCTCTCAGCAGCCCAAGGAAGGTGCTGCAGTCTATCCACATTTAGAGGTGGGAAAACTCAGGCAAAGCCAGAACAGGTGGCTTGCCACTGGCCACCCTGCTGGGAAGTGGTGGGGCCAGGGTTTGGCTCCAGCACTGGCTGCAGCCAAAGCTGGTGGCCTCAACCACTATGCCACGCATTGCCTTTCTGAACAAAAAGGGGCCCCTGAACTGGTCAGAGCAGGTCAGCCCCAAGTCCACTAGCACCTCCTGAATCAGAACTATTCTGCATTCCAGCAGAGCCAAGGACTCAGCCTCTAGTGCAACTCCCTGGAAGGGATAAAGATCTAGGTGTGTCTGAATGACAGACACCAGAGCAGCGAGAGATGAGGACAGCTGTGGTGGTGGGTGGGAGACTTCGAGAAAAAACGGGCTCCATGGGTCCATGCGGGGGTGGTGGTCATGGACCACAGCTTCAGCCTTGAACCTGGGGAGCTATGGAAACCACTAATGACAACAATTTATTGAGCACCTACTGTGAGCCCACCACACTGTGGAGCATTTTCCAGAGGACTCTACTGTAGTTGGAGTGATTGCCAGGGTCCCCTAAGAGCAAGTGGGACGGGAACCAGGCCTGGGAGACAGCGCCTGCGCCCACAGCTACTGGGTCCCCTCTGCGAGGATGTCACCTGGGCAGGGGCAGGGCTCTCCTGTAGGACGAAGATTCCCAACACTAAGATCCAGTGGGGAAATTTTCTTGCTGCCTCCAGACCCGGCCGATGCCTGATACTGACTCCTGCTCTTCGGTGACCGCTGTACAAAGGATGACGTCACCCCTCAGAAGCGTGGGAGCCAGGCCATTCATTCAGCCACATTCCCCCTTCTACCAGCTGGAGGCTAAGCGTGGGACGCGAGCAACGAGAAGTCCCCTTCGACATCGTGAGTAGGGGAACTCCCGCTCAGTGCAGTATGAGGGAGGCACCATAGAGAGCTCTTTCCCTTCAGTGACTGGGCTGAGGCCCGGGGGAGGGAGACCCACTCATCCTCACCCATCGGTCTCAGTGCATTCAGGCTGCTGTACAACACCCAGACTGGGGTGCTTATAAAGAGCAGATTCATTGCTCACAGTTCTGGAGGCTGGAGATTAGAGATCCAGGTGCCACAATGGTGGGGTGAGGGCCCTCTCCTGGGCTGCAGACTTCTTGCTGTACCCTCACATGGTCAGGGAGGGGAGGGTACTCTGCAGGGTCTCTTTACATAAGGACACTACTCCCATTCATGACAGTTCCACCCTTATGACCTATCACCTCTCAAAGCTCCTTCCCATTAATGCCATTGTCTCGGGGGGGTTAGGATTTCAACACATAAACTTTTGGGGGAGCACCAACATTCAGACCATCCACTCACTCTCTCTGAGGCATGCTGACTGCAGAGAGGCAGGTGGTCCTGGAGCTGGGGTGGGGGGTGCCAGACACAGGTGGCAGCTCTGGCACCGCCCAGGTGGTCAGAGACCCAAAGGGCCAGGGACATTAGCAGGCCCCGTCACCCACCAGGAGGAATTCTGTCTGTAAAAGGGGCCAACAGGAGGCCAGGGCTGCTGACCAGGGTCCTACAGTAACTCCAGAGCCCAAGGGCTATCAGAAGTAGCTCAACACATTGTGCAGAAGCATGAGACAGCTCTGACCAGGCTTCAGAAAAAGCAGAAATTCTACTAGTGACCGCCGCTGTGCTGTTATCGGGCCACAAGTCACATGCAGGAGACGATGGAGAAGGAGCAGGAGATGAGTGTGGAGGACAAAAAGAATGCCAGGCGACCTGTCTGCCGAACTGAGGGCAGTGCAAGCTCGGGGAGCGGGCAGGCAGAGACCGTTGTGACGGCCCCTCCTTCCCCTACCGCAGCATTGCTCCTCCCCTCACCTCTGAAGGCAGCACACTTCTCTGTGGGGCACCCAAACGTGCGTGCAGGCAAGCTGGGGACCCAAGGCGCAGCTGGCATTTCAGAGCAGGTTCCAGCTTGTGAGGTCTCGGGTCTCAAAGACAACCACCACGCCATCTTAAATAACCATGTGTTTAATGCTTCGCAGAGCAGACTTGTTCTTTACTATTAAGGTCATTATGAACTTGAATCACTAAAAACTTAAAAGTCCATAACTGAATCGAAGCCCTAAGCAACTTTCTGTGTGCAGTGATTTTACTTGGAAAGCTGTGTGTAAAGTCACGAACCATTCCATACGTTTGTGATCTCCGAAACGCGACCAGTAAAACATAGCAGAGCCCTCTGCCCCTTTGCAGTGGCTGGAGAGTGACAGTGAGTCGCCACAGCTGAATTATGTTCTAGGCTCAAAGGGAAATCCATCTGTACCTGGGCCGTCTGTCCGGGTCCCTGTGAGGCTGCTTGACCCACCTGGGATGACAGCTGGCCGCGGCTTTGGGGCTTTCTGGAGATAGAGGCACCATAGCTCCGACCCTGGGCAGGCAGCCAGGCCGAAGGCAACAACAGAATCTCCTGGAGAGAGCACTGCCTCCCCACCCAGTCTGTGTCCACCTCACCTGCCCCTGCCTTATGGCCAGGTATTGCGCCTTTCCGTGTACAACGAACTCTGCAGCCCGGCCTGCCCGTGTGGCCCTGCTGCGGCCGAGAATGCAGCGTGACTGCTTTACTCAGAGAGCTCCTTCTGACCCGTCACCCGCTGACCCATCCAGAAAGTTGTTTTTCTAAGCCAGGGATGTCTCTGTCTGCTTCGGGGAAGGGTTAGAGTTTGCTGTTCTTCTGGAACTGGGCCACCAGGCTGAGGACCTGCTCGGAGGCTTTGATGTTCTTCAAGCTCAGGTAGGTGGTGCTGTTGGTGGCTGTCTCCTCCAGGTAGTACCGGTAGTTGACCATCAGGCCACACGAGCTGGTGATGCCCTTGAGGCTGAGGTCGGCCATCCAGTTGATGCGCCACATCACAGCCCCGTTCTGCAGGTGGAAGTTCGCCACGGGGTTCAGGGCGTAGCCCCGGTGCTTCTCTCCGTACAGGTACCAGGCACAGAGGCGCATCAGGGGGGCCTGAAGTGCCCTGACCAGCTTTTCAGACTTCACCCATTCGTTGCTGCTGAGAAAGACCTTAAGGGTCTCATGAGTAGGCCCCCCTGTGATCTCAGAGATTTCTTTACACTCAGAATCTGTAAATAATTCATTCCTCCCATGATCCTTTGCTTGTGAGTTCAGGAGCCCCAAGAGCCACTTGGTGAAGCCGGGTATAGGAGACAGACTGGAAAATGTCCCAAGGTGAGGAAACTCTTTCTGTAAGGCCCGGTTGGGGTGGGGAAAGGAAGGTGGAGAGAACACACACACACAAAGACAATTCAGCAGGTGTGTCACGGACACAGAACACCTCTCCATTTATCATATGCGTGTCATTAAACTGTGCATGCTGCTTCACAAAGTGCGATGCATTAATTTTCTTTTTTCAAGGAACCTTTATCACGAATCTGACGTGTGCCAGGCCCCGGAGGCACCCTGAGGCCCTGAGCAAGCCCTTCCGGCGGTGTCTCCACCCGCCCAGGCACCACTGAGCAGAGGCATCGGAGCGCCCTGCTGCCAACGGGACTCAACGGGCCATCTTCGGATGACAGATCGTGTCTTTCTGGCACACCATTCCCCTCCCGTGGACATCTTTGCAGCCACACAGTCTGGTTTGGTGCCGGGCACACAGGTGCCCAGTGGCTGTTTGTTGAGTGAATAATTGACTGCCCACCTACAAAGCGGCGGGTGCAGAGGATGGGATAGAAGGGGAGGCAATGGCTCTTTCTCCACATCAGCTCAATCATTATTATTCAAATTACAGAGCTCTCAGTGATGATTTTTAAAAATCCAGGGTTTTTGGTCTATATATGTAATGCATATGCTCATATAGAAACAATTTTTAAAGATTTATGACAGAACCAAAGAAAACCATAACACTCCTCTACTCTGCGATAACTGCTCTGAATAGTTTGCTAAAGTATAACTCCTTCTCTAGGCAGTTTTTACAGGGGTGAGACATTTATATCCTGCTTCAGGAACTTGTATCATGACCATTTCCTCATTACCACTAAAACTCAGAAACAACTTTAACAGAGTAACATCTAAAACCAGACTACACCATTGTTTTCCTAATCATGTTCTTTATATCGGACACTGAACGCGGCTGCTAGTGTTGGCTTCACAAACCCCCACGAGCGCTTTGTGCAGGAGAGGACTGCGCGCCCTCTGAGTTCTCTCTGATGACCTCCCGGCTCGCAGCCCAGCTGTCCTGATGCCCGCCGGGCCCAGGGGCCACTCTGACTGAGAAACAAGCCTGCGGGTGAGTGACCCAGAACCTCAGTCGCGCTCCCCTGTGATCACCTGTCATACAGTCACCCTCTCTCTGCCCAGTTCATCTGCACCTTCAGCAAAGGAGGAGGAAATAAGGAGAAACTGGTACGAATTAGATGTGGCTTCTTACCACCTCTGGGGAAAAGGGGCAGAGAGTGATTCTAACGAAGCTGATATCCAATTGACTCGAGTTCTTAGATTGAAAATTGACTATGAATTTAAGACAAAGCACATACATATTTTAGTTCTACTCTGTCACTCTAAGGAAGAATTTTGGCTGCAGCTGTGTTGAAACTACCCAAAGCAGAGAACACCAGTCTCAGCCAATCATTAACAATCGATTATTTTACCTAATAATTAGATTCTACTTATTATAGTTCAGCCTAGCCCCTTATGAGATGGTTTCGAAGAGTCTAGACCCAGAGTGAACCTCAACATTGTTGCCGCAGAATGGTTCAAGTGCTCTCCCAGGGCAACGAGGAGAAGAAAGCTGTGTGTGCATTTTAAAAAGCCAGTCTTTAAAGCTGCCTGGCCCAACCTCGACACTCCCTTAAACACCAAGAAAGCCCAACTTGATGAACCGTAGGGGGCCAGAAACCTGGGGAGGGTGGGCAAGGGTGGATGGGGGCGGGTGTGCCTGGAATGACCCACAGTTATCATCCAAACTGGGACAGGTGAGGATGAAAGGCGGCTCTCCTCACAATTACGCTGGGACAACACACGCAGATGGGAGAGCAAGGCCTCTGGGGGGAGATGAAGTTCTCCAAACCCCTGCATTTGTGCCCAAGAAGCTGGTGTCCTGATGCCCTTTTCTCCTCCCTTGAGTGGTCTCAGGGACCCTGGAACTGCCTCTGGCACTTTTCTCTCCCCTCCTTCTTCCTCCCAGCTCAAACCATCATCCCTTGCCCAGGGCCAATCCTCACACCTGGCCACGGCTGGCGCTGCCACAGCAGGGTGAGCGGGGCTCTGACCCAATGGTCCCACAGCGGCACCTCACTTACCTGTAGCTCCTTCACCACCCGCTTTATGAGGAAGGTCCCCAGCTCCACCCCCTGCAGGCCTTGCTGGGTCAGGCTGATGGAATAAAAGATGGCAGCGGCAATTTTGTTCTTCTCCTCTGTTTCTGATGGAGGATAATCCTTCACTATTGCCTGCAAAACATGGACGCCGGTGGTGAGCAGGCTTGGGTGCTCTCGTCCCTGCACCTCACCCTCTCACTTCAGGCCACGAGAAAATGCTCCCAGGCTGGGAGCTGGAAGACCCCAGCGTCCCCTCTGCTCCGGGACCAGGCTACCACGACCAAACATGCCTGGGCAGCTCTGACATCTCCCCGGAGGCAGCACCTGCACAGCTCCTCTGGGCGGTTCGCTCAGCGCTGTGTCATTTCTTTGAAAGTGTCTGCGAACTTGGTGAGTGGTGATTTATGTCCTTTTATTCTTCTTCAGGCCTTTGTGCAAACTGAAACTTGATTAATCCTCTCCCTTCCAGCCCCAGAGAGAACCCCCTCCCTCGTCCAGGCCACAGGGCCCCACTCTGCAAAGGCCTGTTTGCTCCCCGCTTTAGTTATTTTCAGTCCTTTTCTCTGAACCCTACTCTTAGGTTTCTCAAGAGACCTGTGAACCATACATAATTTTTTCTTTGAGGGAATTTACCTTTTCCTGACTTTTCTGTGTACCTTTTTGATTTTGTGTCGCATTCTTGTTCTTCCTCAGTGGAAATACACACCCCCAAAGCGACCTAAGATAGGACTTGCACTGGAAGTCCCTCAGTCAAGTCTGATTTTATTAGCTCTCAGTTTTGACTGCAGGGTTTCTGAACCTTAATACACTGTAGGTCACTTGCCAATAGTGGAGTAGCAGGCGGTTACCTTTCAGTCCGCTTTGATGTGGGCACGTCAGCTTGCTTCTGAAGAGCACATTCACACTACTCTAACTCCCACCAGCTACATGGGATTGCTGAGGTTGTGGTGTTGGCCCAGAACCCACGATGGGGTCCGGGAGTCCACACACTTTCTGAAACTGTGGACGGAACATGCAGCTCTGCACACATCCCCTGGAGAAAACTCCCTCAGCTTTCATCCTCTTCAGACGCTCAAAGGGTCTTTTCTGTGACTCCTGAAACTTTAAGCACTGCTGCCCTACGGTAGTGGGCTGGCCAGTGAGACAGACGCCACCTCAGCTGAGCCACACCTGCCAGCAGGGCTGGGCCACGCCCCCACCCCAGCACTGGTGGAACGACTCTGAGCCTCAGAGAGTAGGGCTCAGGTGCCATCATTACCGTCTTCATCTTGGTGAATTATCACCTTTGTTTTTGAAGAAGCCTGCAGGTTCCTGATTTTAAAATTTCCAGCAAATCTTTTTTTTAAGTTTTCAAAAATAAAAATGAATCTTTCTTTGGTTATGCAAATGAGATATGCATAATGTGTGAAGCAAAATAATTGCATGAAGAAGAAATGACAAATTATTCCAAAACCTAACCCCAAGTCCTGCTGTTAGCCATTTGACAAACACCTTTTTGGTGTGTCCCATTGGCTATTACAATGAGCAGTAATACATGGAACACGATTTGCAGGCTAATGGACAGAGAGCTAATGCTTAATTGATATTACTAACATTATCAACAAGATCATACCATACATGCTATCCTATAACCTGATTTTTTTATGCACTAGTTTGTCAAGGTTGGCTTTCTATGTCAAAAATATAAAACTAAATCAACACTGAAATACATTCATAGAAATCTAATGCATGTGAGGATGTACCAGATGCACCCGCCATCATTTCTTTCACACATCCCCTCCTGATGGACACCTAGGTTGTCACTTCTAGCCTTCCAAAACCTTAGACAATGCTGTGACCACCTGACCTCTTAGGTCTGAGTATCTCTCTAGGGTAAATTCCTGAGAGCGACATTTTTAGGTCAGAGGAATGCACGTTTAATAGTTTAACAGATGCCAGCAAACTGTCCTCGGAAAGGCTGTAATAATTCTGGTGCGACCATGTGCCAGCTCTTCCAGACACAAAATCGTAAGGGGTTTCTCCCTGGTTATCCAGAGCAACTGTCTGTCTGCCTGCCCAGTTTCTCTCCCTTCCAATACCAGGCACGCTGCCCAGAGGGCCAGTCCTGCGACCTGCTATCCTCTCTCCAGCAGCCACTCAGGCCATTCCCAGGCCAAAGTCCTCACGCACCTTGGCCTCCTGGTTTGAGCAAACCCACTGTGACCCAGGTGTCCCCGTGTCCCCTCGCCTGTCTTACCCTTCCTTGCCATCTGCTCTCCCACTCCCAGTCCCTGCCCCGGTCCTTCCGCCTCCCGTGAGCCTGCGGGAGTGTTTCCGACGTTCGCCGACTCCTCGGGGAGCAGCCGCACATGCCACAGGCCGGCCTGTCCGCATCGCTCCCATCGCTTCCGCTCACCAGGCAGCTGCCACAGCACCTAGTCTGTCTCTCAGTCATGTGCCATCTAAAACTGCCCACGGGCACTTCACAAATTCGGAAAAGTTGAACCATGCACCCTTCCTTCTCTTCTGCCTCACAAAAACACTCTCTAACAGACTCCAGCCCTGACTCAACTCGAAGTCAGTAACCCAGATGAATGCTCTCCTCGTTGCAAAACTGCCTGTACACTGCACCTCTACATTATGTAGCTATAACATTAGAGATTTCGTACAGCCAGTTCAAAAATCCACAAAAGCCTAAAGCTTTCGGAAAGGGGGCATAAAACTAAGTTTAAAAAACCTTGATGGGCTCTGCGGGAGCCCGCCTTATCCTTAACCAGCACCGGTAGGTACCTGGATGTTGCTGGAGACGTCACTGGTCAGCGCCACGTGCAGGACCACCAGGGGCTCCCCGGGGTTCACACAGTGGGAAAAGAAGTAACACCTTCGGTACGGCCCGACGCGCCGTTTAATGTCCATCCAATTTTTTACAGGATGCACAGCCTCAGACCTGACGAGAAGAGTGTAAAGAGGTAAGACAAATGTTCAGTTTACACATTAAACAGTCATCGCTGATTCTGATTCATATTATTCACTCAAGTCAAATAAGTCCTTTAAATACAGCTTCAATTGCCTCCTCAGGAAAATTTAAAGAAAATCATCTTAATGTGAAATGGTACTGCCTGAAAGGAACTACAATTAATGGCCATTTTGCACACAAAATTGCGCTCTAATTTTTAATACCTGGTCTTAAGACTAGTTTTCGAGGCCCTGGGGAAGCAGTTATGCAGCGAGCCATAACGCAGGAGCCTAACCAGATGCTTAGTGGTTGAACATTCTATGTCTTTTATTTCCTTTAAACCTCCGCAGTTTGAAGTCAATGTCGCGGACATACATCACTTGGTTCCATCTGGCTAGCAGCCTCAGCCACCACTATTTGGTTTCCAGCACGCACAATGGCAGCAGGCTCCGTCAGCCCCTCAACTCGGTTACACTGCAGATACCACCACTTTTCCCCAACCTCAGACTGTGTAAGACAATGGACTATGAAGACCCTGAGGTGGAAAGGGCTCCCCCTACTGGTGAGAACAACTGTGACGTGCTGGCCTGCATTTTACTGTGTGTGGGACATGCTGGAATTATGCACAATATTGGTAATTCGGAGATTATATCCAAGGGAGATATTCTAACAACTAGATGAAATCGGTGCTGTTTGGATCACTAATGCAAACACTTGGTCCAGTGAATTCACACAACTCCAATAATGGGGTCCTGGGAAAAGGGGGGCCATGAGCTTTAAATACGAGGACGTAAATGAGACCCTGTGTGTGCAGGTGTGCCGGCAGAATGACCAGTTCCTGTCTGTGACCTTTCCGCCCCCATGATCTTGACATCGCCTGCTAGGACAGGCACAATGTTCGCGGATGCCCTGTAGGCTTGGAATGGAATGGACAGGTAAGAGGAGACTGGCCTGCAGCTGAAAGATCAGGCACCTGAAAACCCGAGTACTTACTCACTGACTTTCTGCAGCACTTCACACGGCGAATGCCAGGTCACTCGTTCCAGGTTCAGGAAGCCTGAGGAAAACCACTCTGTGAGCATGCCCTTCAGCACTCCATTCATTTCCTGGGAGGGAGAGGGGAAAGCGTCAGCTTTTCCAAGCCCATCTCTGCATCCTCAGCGCACTGAGTTGAAGCACCAAGAGGTGAGATCAAAGGAGGCTGTACAAGGTGCTTCCCTAAATGGCCTTCTCTGAGATATTGCTACTAAGCTCGTATCTCAATCAAGTTACACTGGATTCAGCGCTCCATTCAGACTTTACTGCTTCAATCTGTAAGATACCTGAGTGGGAGCGGCCAACATGAATTAAGCCTCCCACATCAAATCATATGGTCCAATTGGTCCCCCACAGTGAACACGGCCGAATGCCCACAGTGAACAGGACGACGAGTGGTGCACGGGAAGCATGGACAGCACAGAGCTCAAGCCCTCACCTCACCCTGCAGGAACTGTTTTGGATACGCCACGTCACTCCTGGTTTCCCAGGAGAAGCAAGTACCTGGGCCAGGTACTGCACTTCACCCACTCCAAGGTGCCCGTTTTTGCATTCTAACATCTCTGAAGTCAGGATGCATCTTTCAAATGATGGCAGGTCACAATTTACCTGGCAGCATTTTTTTTTCCTCCCTTAATGGGACACAAAAGAATATTGTATCTGGCAATCAATGTGCTCAGACTTGATAAAATTACTCTAATTTCACTTCATTTACTTATATCTAGTCTATTTCTGAAAATTGAGTCAACTTTACCATCAAAGATACATTCGCACTGAAACCTTTCAAGCAGGACGAGCTTGAAGGTGCTTAAGGAAAGGATAGGAGCAGAACTGCCTCGGTTTAGCCTGCTGTGACCACACTGAACGTGTAACAGCAGTAAACCTTTCATCGCCAGAGTGGTGAGGAGAGGGGGTGACACGAGGACTAACTGGGGGAGACACGGAGCCAGACTCGGACTGAGCTGAAAGAGCCTCTGAACAGCCAGATGTCATCGTGGGAGAGTGTGAACCTCCCTGTGGGAGGAGACCGAGCACAGGGTCAATGAGAACTTGGTGAAGCTGTTTCAAAAGGGGTTTAAGTGTCTGACAGTGGTTGGACAGAATTACCTTTGCAATTCCTTTGAACTCTCGATGGATTCCATAATCTAGTCTCCTTTACTCGGCTCTAAGCTCTGTAAGGGCAGAGGTCATTTCTATTTTATTTCTCTGGTTTCCAAAGCATTCAGTGGGACCTTCCATGTGGAAGACGGCTAACAGATTGATAGCAAACGAAAAAGAGAAGCAAATGAAAAACAGATTGATAGCAAATGAAACAGACTGATACCAAACACCCTGGCTGGTGTGGCTCAGTGGATTGAGTGCTGGCCTGTGAACCGAAGGGGGTGCTGGTTCGATTCCCAGTCAAGGCACATGCCTGGGTTGCAGGCCAGTTCCCCAGTAGGAGGTGCACAAGAGGCAACCACACATTGATGTTTCTCTCCCTCCCTGTCTCCCTTCTCCTCTCTGTAAAAATAAAGAAGTAAAATCTTAAAAAAAGAAAAAGAGAAGAAAAACTGGAGAATGGGGATTAGGAAGTAGCAGGGAGGATGCGAGATGTCATTTGCTAGGAAATACAGAATAGCCCCTTACAAAACTAGTTACTGCATTTGACTACTATGGTTCTTAATCTTCCTAAGGTCTGCATATCCTCTTGAGTAGGTGCTAAAAACATTAATTAAATTTTTTCATGCAACTGCCTGGGGTTAATAGAGCCTTGAAATACATCTTTGGGTCATCCCCAAAGGTTCATGGACCATGGGTTTAGGAACCTCTGCACTAAATGGTTAGAAATAGATTAGTCCAGTTCCATGTAAGGTGTACTGGCATCTCTATTACATTCATAATAGAGAAGCTGGAACTATCTAGTTTCAGTATTAATTCAGTATTAATTATTAAAGAAACGGTTTGGCTGATGAAAGCTCCCTGTCTGAAAGTCTCATCATTCTATTTTGGGCTATTGACAGCTATAAAATGTGACACTGGTCACAAGAACTGGGAATCTGGGTTAAAGTTTACAAGCCTCCACAGTTGTTCAGGCTGGAATTAGCCACCCCGTGTAGCAAGGTTACTGGATCACAGAGAACAGGAGTGAAAGAAACTACTTATGCTTTCTGCTCATTAATCCTGCAGTCATTTATCAACCATCCAAGGCTCCTAAATACAGCTGCTGGGAATACTGTGGTGGCGCCAAAGTCAGAGTTAGGTCTGTTTTCCGCGAACTGCCGATTCTAGTGATCCTGGCTGACACGGCCCAGGAGGCATGCGACTCTCTCCCTCAGCAGACAAGAGGCTGTCTCCCACACTCTCCTTGGGAGTTTCTGGCTATCAAGATCTCCCCAGTATGTGAAGAATTCCTTTTCATCACTCAGAAGCCCCGGGGAAGGAGATGAAAGCTATCAGAAAGGGCCATGGTGCCCAGGTTACCTTTCAGGTGCAGCTCCAACCTGCACAAGCTGCTACCCGCCAGGTGGCTGGGGGCACACCTTCCCACCTGCAGATCAGACCTTTTTAAGTCTAGCTAAGCACAGACTTTAGAACCAAGAACGACCACTATACTAACTGAAAAGCAGGACAAACCACCAAAAAAGGTTGTGTGACAGTGTCTGCCAGGCCTGTGCCTGCAACAGTGGGGATGCTGACCATGTCTGACACATATTTAGTCCCTTCTCTTATTGTCTATCCACGCTCCTTGAAGGCCTTCACCCCTCTCATCCCACCGTAATTTCTGTGCTTACATTGCCCATCAAGAAACTCTTCCATTTTATAAATGCCAACTTCCCTCCAGCGCCCATCAATCGCTGAACAGTGCTCAGACCTGTTGCTATAATGGGGGTCAGTTCAGTTCAATCGGGCATTTAATCTAAGAAACCAAACTATGCAACCCAAGTGGGCCTTTGGGAATTTCTCTGGAGGAAAAAAAAAAGCCTATAAACCAACACACACAGAAAGCACATACCCTCCCCGGACCACCCCATAAGCAGAGCTGGGACACACCTACAAGTTCACAGGGCACTTTGTTCAGGAAGCATCCGTGTGTTGGATCCACACTCTCAAAACTCAACCCAAGTATTTGACCTTCGCAAGCTGTAAAAACTTTCTTCAAGGTAGCACTTGCATGTTCCCAGCATGGGAACTGACTCTGAACTTCTTATCAAAAAGGACTAACATGCCATGGGAGAGAAAAGAAAACTAACTTAAAATATCCCAGGAGAGAGAGAGAGACACCCACCCAGCCTCATGCCTTTGGTGTTCATGTGGGGCTACACTTGAAATGGAGGTGCCAGCCTTCCAGATTCTTCCCACAGTTCCAATAATCACAACCCTCTGTCAGAACCAAGGCCTTGAGAAACCTACCCTCATGTGTAAAACAAATTTTTAGCAAAGCTCCACCACATCCCTTGGGGCATTTCTTAGGAGAGAAGCAGGCTGACCTTAAGCAGATCAACCACCAGCTGACTTTCTCACCTCAGTGCACAGCCAACTGGCCCAGGGAGAGTGACTTGGCTAAGGTCACCTAAAATCACGTCTCTAACCAGGGGATGGCAAAGACAGGCCTGGGAACCTGCCTCCTGTCTCCCCACCCAGTCCCTCTGCTGCCGTTCTCACTGTCTGCTCAAAGGCCCTGAATCTGCACGTCCGGCCTCGCATTCCTGGTTATTCTTAAGTGCCTTTGCACCCTACCAGCTCTGGGAAACAAGAACCCTAGTCAAGCACACAGCGGACCGGATCCATTCTGAGGTGAATGCTCAGGACTGAGCTCACAGCAGCTCCTGTAAACTAGGGCGTCTTCACCTGAATGTACCTAGCGAGTCCTAAGGTCAGTGGGGCTCAGGCAAGTAGCACGTCTGTGACAGGATACCTGCTGTGTGTGCACAGGGTGCTGACACCTGGGACAAGTGCAGAGGAGTTCCCACTCCCCCAGCATCATGGGGCATCACAGGCCCCTGGGGATCTGGGACTCCTGCCCTAAGGCTTCACACACCAAACTTCTGGTTTCTAATACTGAATCCCTAAAAGCGAAACGTTTTGGCTGTGTCACATCTTTAACTTGGATGCAAAATCCAGAATGAGGTAGAAAAGAATCAAGATTAAGTGACTCTGGTGATACAGTCCAATATCAGATCCCAGTGACAACGTCTGTAGATTTAAAAGAACTATCTCTGAGTGATTTCAATGTAGGTATTTTTAAAAAAGTGATGCAACTCTGTAGACCAAAAGAGAAGGGAATCACCAACCACTAACAGACACACTAAATACAAAAAAAAACTTTCTAGGGAAAGGAAATGGAAAAGGTGTGCTAGACACTAAAAAAGGCTTTTGGACCTACTGTGTCCAGACCATGTGCAGAGGCAAAGGCCAGGCTACGGTTATTTATCCTTTCTCCAAAAAATATCTTTATTCCATGTGGCTTTTTGCCTATAGGTATACACCTTTTTTTCCCTTCATGTGTGTGAACAGTTGGTTAAAAGAACAAGGGAATCCTGAACATCTGAGGACCTGGTTTGCTGGCAGCTCTGAATTTCCCTGGGGCGAGCTCTTCTCTTCCAAGTCTCAATGTCACAGCTTTCAGCTGCCACAATATTCCTTTTCCATTGCCCTAGAACCACACGTTTTCTCGTGTGGGCAATAGCAAGAGGACACAGTCAGTAACATGTCAGAGAATCAGAGGATTTAGAACTGGTCGAGGCATCAGAAATCACCCAAGGCCAACACTCGCAGAAATCCGCCACGGGCAGTCTGAATGTCTGATATGATGTCTCTCTTGGCTGTGCAGAAACCTCCCAGACCCTCTGGGCTTCCTTCCAGGCTCAGAACTCTGAGAGTGGAGCAATCTGACATCAAGACAAATGGGAATGATTAGTGTGCTGACTTTGTCTTATAGCCAGGGCACCCAGGAGTCTGTCTTAATGTGTCATTCATCATTTTGCTATGCAAGAAATTTAAGACAAGGTTCCCAGTTTTCAAGGAGCTGATCATCTATTTGGGGGTAGGGGAAATACACATTTCAAACACTAAATTCTGTGGTTGATGTATAAAATCTAAGTGAGGGGTGCAGATAACAATGTATGCCATGAAGCTCAAAACTGAGTGAGACGACTTTGAGCTGGAGTGCCTGGAACAGCTGAGTGAATGAGCTAAGGGGTGGATGCAGCTCTTATTCTACCAGGCCTCCCACGTGGAAATCACACAGGGGTGTGTGTTCTGGGACTTTCCATCCAAGAGCCAGCTTGGCTGGAGGTGAGTCTGTGGAGAGGAGCAAGTAATGGAGACTAAAGATGGGAATGTTGTGCAGGGTGGTTTGGTGTGCATCATAAATGACAAAGGAAAGACTCTAAATGCAATCCTCTGGCATGTGAGGTGCCACATCCAACGCTAACCATGTCGTCTGACAAAGTCACAGCATGGGGACTGTGACTTCACAGACGCATGTTCTGACCAGGTGGACGTGGCATAAGTGGATATATGGTGTTGATTCTGTTCTTGCTGTCTCTTGGTATTCTGACATTTACTTTTCCGATAATTTGGAATCTCCTAGAAATGATGGCCATTCTCAGAGCTGATCAACAACTAGGTCAGACTGAGAAAAATGCCACCTTGGCCTTTCCCCAAAATAATACCCTCTCTGGGGGCCCAGAGGAGGAAGGGCCCACAATGTCCAGTGAGTCCAAGGGGAAGAATATTCCCTTCCCTGACCCAGTTAAGCAGGTGCAGAACAAGTTAATACTAGGTGGCAGGGAGCCAGAATTACCCAGAACGCTCCCCCAAGTTAATCCCCTCTAATGAAATAGTCCCTGAATGTCTAAAAGTTGTTGGAGTAACAGCCCCTCCTTTACCTTGAATAATATATATCAATTAGACAGGCATAGAAATAAAAAAAAGCTGGCTAGTTATTACAACTAAACATGTAGAAACAGTTACTAAAGAGTCAGAGAGTTTATAGTACACAGAGAAAACTTTTAGACAGAAAATAGATAGTCAAGTTAGACATCACAAAGGCCTTATAATAAATTTCCTAACCTCTGCTCGGTCTAGCATATCTTTTGCCCCATACCAAATTCTAAGACCTTTAATATACAATTAAGACATTCAAATTCTATACATACAGCTACTTCTAATTGTCTGATTTATGCCTCTCCTGGTCAAAAATAATCTTTGTTTATTATAACTGAATATATGGGAACTTTCATATTTTTCTTGGTTACCTTTGTATTGATTTTTCTGCTTAACTGATCATGCTATACTGCAAATGTTAATCACTACCTAAAATGAAAATATAAAAACCTGCTTGTACTTGCAATAAAGGGAACAGAGCTTCACTGTCCTTTGAGGCGTGTTGTCATCCATTACCCATCGCCGATGCCTTACCCACCTTTGGGATCCCTGGACCCTGCTGCAGCTGGACCGCAGCAGTGAGGCTTGATGATTTTTCAAAAGGGAGTAAAGACTGACCTGTGGTTTTAGAGAAAGGTTGGCACTGAGACTGCTGGTAGACAGCAGCTTGCACAGAAAGTAAATACAGTCACAACTAGACAACACTGAACTCCTGATTCAGTGTACTAAATAAAACAAAGCCACCAATTAACTGGATTGTTTTGTCTGCCCTCCACTTTAGAGAAAAAGGCAAATGCTAAGAGAACAAATCCCCTTTAGATCTAGTGAAATGGTCAGCTTCGAGAGTCCCTGTGTAGTGCCGAAGTATCAACTGTGGAATCACTGGGACTGGCTTGAGTTGTGGCCCTCTGACGGGCTCTCTGCTCTGGGCATTGCACTTAACCTCAGCAAGTTTTAATCACCTCATCTGTAACACAGTTCCCTGTGGTTTGCTGAGGATGAAACGAGCAAATATATGAAAAGCACTTACCAACCACCATGCCTCTACTTAACTCTTCTCATTCTAGATCAGAAGCCCCTGGACACAGTGACCTGGGCGCCTAGAGCATGCCCCATACAAGATAAACTGGATGGTTGCATGTCAAAGGATGGATGGACAGGTGGATGATTTCACTCTGAGACAGGTGACATTCTACCTAATTCTCTAGATTCGTATGCAGTAAGAATCAAGGTCCAGAAGGCACCCAGAATCTGAGACAAGTTGTAGTCAGTTCTGTACATTTGACAGGATTTCTTATGACAATGGCTTACACCCTAGTGGGTTCGGACACAATCCAGGTTCTTTTCGAAAGGCTGTCTGATGCTGAGTTTGATACTCGTTCAAGTACACCACACAGGGGAAACCTTTCAGCTAAAATAGCAAGTCTTTGTGAAGTATACTAATCACGAATGGGGCATGACAGTCATCTTAAAGGTAGGCGATGGCCTTATCTAATAAACACTACATTGTATGGACTAGAGCAAGATATGACTAGACAGAGATAAAGACTCAGAAAACCCTGAAAGGATAGAGACAGGGTTTGGGGCTTTGTAACCAATGGTGAAGTGTGAACCGCTTCAGGCAGGGAAGGCGGAGTGTTTGGGGCTTGAGGGGCAGTGAGGGCTATACAGGGACTGCCAAGGGCCCACGGACCTGGGCGCAAAGCGGGGCGCGACCCGGGCTTTCCCTGTTCCCAGGGGTTCGGGGCGGCCCGGGCGGGGCCTTACCCGGACGTGCGGCCCCTCCACCAGCTTGAGGGCCTGCGCCTCAAGCAGGTCAGCCCGCAGCTGCACCAGGAAGCGCACGCCGCCGTCCAGCTTGCTGATGTGGTGGAAGAGGCCGCGGTAGCGTGGAACCAGGGCGTAGCGCAGCCGGTCCTCTGCCTGCAGTAGCACGGCCGCCTCCCGCGGCTGCTGGCGCAACTGGAGCACACTGGCGCTCTGTTCGGCGACCTGGCCATGGTCCACCCCGAAGCCCTGCGCCAGACGGCCCAGCAGCTCGGCGCGCTCCGCCACCTCGGCCAGGCCGCCGTAGAAGCTCACAAAGTCCGCGCACTGGCCCTCGGCTGGGGCCGGCGTCTTCTCGCGAAGCTCGTAGGCCGGCACTGAGGGCACGGCGCGCCGCAGCAGTTCGTCCATGGCCCGCTCCAGGACGCCCGCCGCTGCCGGCCCGCTTGACAGCCGGGGTCCTGGCGGCCGCCAGGGCTGCCGGAGTAGCCGCAGCGGAAGGAGTCGCCGCGCTGCCAGACCTGGCCCAAAGCCTCGCATGGTTACAGGTGGCAACTATCCAGAAAATGCCTCCACCACAGCCGCGGTGCTTCCGTCTTCCGGCGCGTGCCGGCCCCATTGGCTGAGGCCTAGGGGCAGGAGGCGGGAGCGACCAATCGAAAGGCGTAGCGGTGGGCTGGTGCGGGGCGCGGCGGGGCGGGGCGTGGCGGGGTGGGGCGCGGCCGGAGGCCAAGTGCGACCAAAGGTCCTAGTAGTGCAGCAGGGCTGGCTGCAGCTTCAGACCCCTCTCTTGTGACCAGTCACCTGGTCACTAGATGTCACCTCAACTCTTCTGCGCTTCCCATTCTCTAGAGCCAAACTCTCCAACCTCAAGGTGCATCAAAGTCACCTGTAGAACATGTTACTTACACATGCAGATTCTTGGAACCAGTCCCAGAGGTTCTGATCCAGTGTGGCTGTAGTGGAGCCTAGGAATCTGCGTGCTTAAAGAAGTTTCATGGTGGTTATTCTCTGACAAGGTAGCCTAGGCGCTCAATTTGTTCTGTGTCTGTACAGGTAACTCCCAGAGCTGCAGCCCTTCTCTCTCCTGATCGCTGGACCCTGCTTCCTGCTGCCTGCTAGAGAGCTTTTCATGGACGAGGCAAATGGGGCTTTGCTGAGCACCTTGTTCCCAATCTGTTCCTCCTCCCTTAGTATCTGTTCATTCATTCATTCATTCACTCATTAATTCAACAGAATGTTTATTAGCCACCTGGTATGTGCCAGGTCCTATATTAGGCACGGGTTCGCCAGACGGGTCTGTCTGGTTCATTAATAAAATAATGAAGCATACAGACCCGATCGTGCTCCATGGAGTTTACAGTCTAATGAAGGAGACAGATGAAAACTAAAAGTTGTAACAAGTGCTATAAAGGAAATAAACCCGGCGGAATATTATAATATTGCAGGGCCAGGGCGGGTTTCCCGCTGTGGACAGGGCATCAGGAAGGCCTCTCTGAAAAGGTGACATTTAATGTAGGACCTAATAATAATAATAATAATAATAATAATAATACATTTTTAAAAAGGGAAGTACGTGTTGGTGAGAATGTTGAGAAAGTGGAACTTTCATACACTGTTGATGGGAAGGCAAAATGGTGCAGCCATCCTGGAAGTAATTTCCACAGTACCTGGAGAAGTGACACATAGAGTTACCAAATGACCCAGCAATGCCACTCCTAAGTACACAAGAGAATTGTAAACATGCAGTCACAGAGAACCTTGTACATGAATTTTCATAGCAGCATTATTTGTAATAGCCAAGAAGCAGAAAAAACCCAAACGTCAATGAACTGATAAATGGGATAAACCAAATGCCGTATATCTATACAATGGAATATTATTCATCCATAAAACACAATGAAATACTGATACATGTTACAACACGGATGAACCTTGAAAACATTATGCCAAGTGAAAGAAGCTAGGTAACAAAGGATCACATATTGTATGATTCCATTTATATGAAATATCCAGAACGGGCAAATCATAGAGATGAAATCGGTTAATGGTTGCCTAGCATTTGCAAAGAGGAGAATTGGGAATGAACAATAATAGCTGTGGGGTTTCTTTTCAGTGAGAAACTGTTCTGGAATTAGTGCTGAAGATTGTACAACATTGTGAATGTACTAAAAACCAGTGAACTACGCACTTTTAAGTGGCTAAAATGGTGAATTTTATTATGTAAATTTTATCTAAAAAAAACCCAGACTGCTCCAGAGGGACTGTCATTGCTCTAGTCAATCAGTAGAATCCGGTTGGTCTGGCTTGGATCAGGTACCCAGGCTGGGGTATAAGATCACCTGGAGTGAACAGGCCAAGGGAAAGTCACCCTTTTGGGTGGAGATACAGTATTCAGAGAGAGAGAGAGAGGTGTGGGCTAGACAGTTGTTCCAATAAATGTCTAAGTAGAAAAAATAGCATTAAAGAAAATATTGGGAAAAATCACCCATAATTCTAGATCTTATTTACAACATTTTTATTCCTGCAAATTGTTTCAATATTTGTACACAGGCCAACATATTTTTTTGAGTCGTAATCACTGTTTTTCTGTTTGTTTCCTGTTGTTTTCACTTTCCATCATATCACAGACATTTCTCATGTTTCTAAATCACTTTCAAATTACCTTTTTTAATGGCTGCATAATATTCAACTGAGTTGATGTACCATAATCTTTTAATCACTTTGTCATTTCTAGATATTAACATGACTTAAAATTTTTGTTGAATATCTCTGTGTGTGTGTGTACATATATTCATACCACAAAAAATACTTTCACATATACTCATTTTTTTCTTTACTGGAGTTGTCTAAATTTCTTTAAAAGACAAAATAGGATAGATACATTTTTCCCATGAAATGTCAAACTAACAAGAAACCTAGAAAGAAAAGAGACTCACAAACGCACCAGGCTAGCTGGGAATGCAGGCACGATTCCTGGGGTCTTCCTCCTCCCCCAGCAGGGTCTTTGTTGTCACTGGTGTGTTTAGGCCTCTCTCCCACCAACAGTTCAATGAAGTCATCTCTGCTCTGAATATGCTAACTCAGATGATCTCTTATTTGGGTTGATCAGGTCGACTGGTTTTTGCTGTTACGGTGCTACTTTAAACATCCTTAGATATGTCTTTCAGTCCTGGGGTACACTTGCAAGGGTCTCTCTAGGCCAGTTTCTCCATGTTAACACACTAGACATTTGGGGATAGGTCATTCTTTGTGGAAGGTGCTGTCCTGTGCACTGTGAGATGTTTAGCAGCATCCCTAGCCTCTACTTAGATGCCGCCAGCATATCCCACTTGCAATGATAAAAAATATCTCCAGACATTGCCAGGTGTCCTGTGGGGGACAAAGCAGCCCTCCCACCATTGAGAGCCACTGCTCTAGGCTCTGCCACCCCCGAGCTCCGTGCTGGAGGCAGGGATGGGGGAGGAAGGCAGGCAACAATGGTTCTCCAGCTTTGCTGCACTTTAGAATCACATGATGGTAGCCTGGGGAGCTTTTAAAATCTTCCACGCCCAGACTGCAGCCAGTCCAATTAAATCAGGACCCTGGGGCACACTGCTGGCACTGGTTCTCATATTGCCTGCATGTTGGAATCACCTGGGAGCTTTAAGAAATTCTGATGCCTGGGCCACAACCCAGAGGTTCTGACTGACTTGGTCTGGAATGGGACCTGGGCACTGGGATTTTTAAAAGTGAAGACATAGGTGAGTCTGATGTGCAGTTACATTTAAACATTGGGGTAAATACCTATGAGGAGAACTGCTGGGCTGCAGGGCCCCGCTTTACTAAGAAATGGAAAGCTGTTTCCTACCACTTTGTCTTTCACTTATGTCTGCCTTCCTCCCCCACCCCTGCCTCCAGCACTGAGCTCAGTGAGGGCAGGGTCCACCTCATTTGTCTTCGAATAACTGTTGCCTAATGCAGTAGTTGGCACACGGTAGCTGCTTAATGTATAATTTGTTGTTGAATGATTGGGAGTGAGTTATAATTGTGCTGCGATTGCAAATCACCTTGTCGTTGGAGCCAACAGGGAAAGAAGCAGAATCAAGTGCCTGGACATGGGAGTCAGCACCCCCATGGAGTCACTAACACACTCCCCAGCGTTGAGCTAAGAAAGGTGGTCAATATCCCCAAGTGTGAGGACTTGCAGATGCTTCATTCTGATGACTCTGAGGACTCCCCGCTGTCTGAAGCAGGGTGGGTGTGGGTGCCAGGAATGGGGGACTGCGAGCAAGGTGCTGGTAGAAAGGAGTCAGGACTGGGATGGGGAGGTGTGAGCAAAGAGAAGTTGAATGGAGACTGGGGTGAAGGGACTCCTCGGTACCACTCTGTGATCAGCAAAATGCTGTCCCCCCCACATATGTCTATATCTTCATCCCTGGAACCCGCAGGTGTTACGTGGCAAAAAGGAGTTGAGGTCAGAGGTGGAGTGAAGTCACAGCTCATTTAGTTGCCAATGAGCTGACCTTGAGATGGGGAGGTCGTCTGGGTTATCCAGGTGGAAGAGGGAGGCAGGAGAGTTAGAATCAGAGAGCAATTTGAAGATGGAGGAAGGAGCCACAGGCCAAGGAGTGCGAGTGGCCTCTAGAAGCTGAAAGGCAGGGAAAAGTCTCCTCTGGAACCTCCAGAAGGAACCAGCCCTGTGTGACTTTAGCTCCATGAGACTCAGGGTGGAGTTCCGACCTTCATACTGTAAGAGAATAAATCTGTGTTGTTTTAAACCACTAAGTTTGTGGTCACTTGTTACAGCAGCAATAGGAAACTTACACACGTTCCAGGGTTTGCTACAAAAGGAACTGCAATAGGAAAAGTATGTTTTATATCAAACCCTGCTCTTTATGAATAAGAATAGCAAACGCTTGCTATTGAACATGCAAGGTGCCAGACATTATCCTGTGCACGTCCCACGAATGCATTGCTTTAACCCTCGTGACAACTCTGAGGGCTAGGTTCTGTTTGCATCTGCACTTACTGATAAGGTGGACAGAGGCACGCAGAGGTGAAGTGCCTTGTTTAAGGTTGCCCAAGCAGTCTAACTCCAGAGTCCATGGAACACACTGCCATGTGTGACTGGTTACTCCAAGGTCAGTTTCTTTGTGGTCAGGACCACAGCCCTTCTTGACAAGTGGCGGGGTGTAAGCATGGAAGCAACTGTGCTGAGCAGTCACAGCTGCCTGCGTTACTGCAGAGCAAACGAGCTTCTGTATCGGACACGGGAGAGTTGAAATCATGGTTCTGTGGCTTAAGCTCTGTGAGACTCCTGGCCAGATACTTAACCTCTACCTTACAGGACTGGCATTTTGGTGACATGAGGAAAAGTATGAGAAATCACTCAACCATGTATTTCCATTTCTTGCCCCTCCCTGGTTCTAAAATGCAGGATGGTAGTTGGTAAGGGGTTAAGAGAGAGACACTGGGTTTGAGTTCCTGTGTTCAGGTTGTAGGGCCACCATTTGCTTCCTATAACAATATTCAATTTACAGCCTCCCTGGCCTCAGCTCCCTCATCTGTAAAATGGGTGCAGTTGTGGCAGTCCCTGCTCATAGA